ATTGACTGAGCATGAAATAGCTGCAGTTTGAATTGGATTTGAAGTAAATGTCCAAGGAATGTAGTTGTAGGGTTGAAGTAGTTGATGCCTTTGTCATTCGCTAAAGACAGTTAGAATGTTTTGCCGATAGAACTTAGAATAAGAATCCATTAAAACTGCTTTGTAACAGTTACCTCGCGCTCATAACGAACTATGTTTCATCAGCTGATACTCATTATATGCTACATATGCTATATGCTCATGTGTAAGCATCATGCGCTTTTCGTACGCCCGAGTGTGTGAAATAACGAATCATAGGAAATGGGATTGTGCAATGTGCCGTAAGATCTGGTCTTGAAGAAATCATTTGCCATTAATGCTGGGTTTATTATACATATTAGTTAGTTTCCTAAGATTTGGGAGCGAATGATTCATTATTTCCTTCGCGGGTTGGTGGTGATACTGATAAACAGCCAAAAACGGTTTTATTTATACAGAACGCAATGTTCAATGGGATGAATGACTAGCGCGGATGTTTATCCCCTTGCCTCGGGCTCCTTCTTCAATGTAAGGACGTTGGTTGACTGGTATCGAAAGTCCATTCGTTGTTCGCAGCTGCTGGTACATGTGGAGCCAGAAGTCCTGGAAATGAAAAGGTTTTCGTTGGTCGAACATAGGTGAATACAAATGCAACGCTGTAAGAATTCGTGCTGTCCGAACATACTTTCCCCAGGTGATAATCAGGGCTATTTTGTGATGAATTGCAAAAATGGTTAGTTTAGTCATTTGCACCAAACCACAGTTAAAATAATCTAACATTCAGGCATCGCACAGTAAAACTGGTTCAGACTATTTGACTGATTATTAATGACAGCCGATAAAAAGGAAAGCTGACCAACGTGGGCCGAAATATCGCCTTTATTCTTTTGTACGACACTAAAGAAGCAACTTTTCCTAAAACTCTGAAGAAGATTTGCAAGTAGCAAATCAGATAGTTGCTCCGCTTCACGAACGGCATCTTATTCTGTGCTATAAATTATTAACCCCTTTTTCATTCTGGAAACAGGATTTGTCGTGAAGGACTGCGTAAGGTTATTGATTTTCTAACGTTTAATTGGAGCGAAAAATAGTTGTTTCTTTGCTTTCCCTAATACGGTCCAAAATCATCATCTGGATGATTCATCGTGCTCAGGTCAGAGAAGGGAGGAAGACAAACCGTTTTTGCCGTGCCTTGGAGATTCATCTGGGTGATGCCAGCACCTCTTTATCGCCAATTCTTTACTTATAATTCTTGCAGAGCATTCCTAGAGACAGATTTGCCGTAAAAGTATGTTCAGCGCTGTCGATCCAAGTCACCCCATTCTCGTCAGATGACGTCAGTCGATGTTTGATCTCCTTAAAGGTGCCGATTTTGAGTTGTAGAAAACTGATATTCTTTTGGATTTTCTGACGTTTTTTATGTCCGGGACAGAGCTGCTGGGAATCATTTTTATCTTGATTAGCACTTATTGGCTGCGCTACGTAGTTGTGAAGAAAACGACTATATTCAGACGAAGTTTAAACAATGAAGAAATGCTTATGGCTTAATGATAAAATTATTTAAATTGAACTGTTTCTGCTATCCTGATTTGTTCTCGTATCTACTTTCTATAGAAAAGTATTCGAATCCTACGCTTATGAACTTATGATGTTAGATTAGTCGATGCCATGTTTGAATTTTTTGTGGAATTCATAGGTTTTGCTTAAGAATTCATCATCATTCAGGGTTCCGCGATAGTCTGTTTGTACTGTGTCGTTTTAAGAATGTTTAGCCGACGATGGCTTGCGTACCGTGTGCGCAGTTGTCTACAGTATTCTTAACCAGTTATGGTTATATGTCATATATTCTCATTAAAATTGACAAAATGATTTGATTTAATAGTATTTTTATTGTTTTGTTTAGCAAATCCGGTAGGATCTAGTCAGGACTACCGTACGGATCATTTGGCGCGGAATATCATCATTCATTGCAGAAAATGGCTTCTTTCAAGGTAGATTTACAATAAAAATTTATTGTTTTGCGTATGC